CTCAATCCACTGAGCCACACCAGCCAGGGTGAGAAACTGACTTTTTAAAAAAATACCTCTGTGAAAACTGTCCCTTTTATTCCAGGCTAGTGTCCCATCAAACCTAACATCTTCGTCTACCAAGCCCTGTGGAACACCCCTCAACATGCTCTGGCAAGCTCTGTCAACACCCTCGTCCTCACCCCCGAATGGCCCCACCTACACTCAGTCCTAAATCATCCCACCTTTGCCACTGCCATCTTCTCAAAATGATAAAAGTCATTTTAAAAGACTTCCCTTGCCCTCTCATCCCCCTGTATCTGTTAAGATTCCTCATGCCCATGATAGCCAAACCCCTTGAAATAACAGACAATACCTACTGTTTCTGCTTCCTCATCACCCATCCAGTCTCCAAGGCCTGTAATCAGGCTCTGACCCCACCACTGACTGTAGCGTCCCTGGAAATTCACCAAAGGTAATGCATCTTTAGTCCTCATCTACTTGATCTCTCTGCTGTACATGACACTTCTGGCATTCCCTCACTGTTGTTGTCTCCGTTCTTGGGTTTTTGAGATACTGCTCTTCTAAGTCCCTTCCACATCTCCTTCTACATTTCTGATTATTTCATATTCTCAGGTTTTTCCACAGACCCCTGCTTTTCTGCACATTACTTAAATACTGGTGCTCCCAAGTGTTCTGCTTTGGCCTTCACCTTCAAAGCAGCTTCAAACAGAACCTACCTCACTACCTACACCTCATCAACTCTCATTCTATCAACTACCACCCATATAATAATGACTGCCAAACCTCTTTCTGAGCTCCTGACCTAGTTAACTCAATAGATTTATCCTTTTGGACTGCCTAATGTTTCTTCAAATTCAATGTATATAAACTAGAACTCCATAGTTTCCTAAAACTTCCTTTTTTCCCCACATATTGTCTATCTCTCTGAGACAGCCCTTCCTTAATTTCCCAATCTATGCTAGTTATCCCATCCCATGTCACTTTCTATTAAATTATCTTGTTTTATCTTCTGCCTTGAACTTCTTGTTTAATATTTTACTCTTAATTTTTTTTCCTGGTAATTGTCTTTTCCTATAGCTCCAAATACAAGAACCTTCAGTACAGGACCTTCAGCACCTAAAACAGTGGTTGGCACATAATGGGTGATCAGTCAGTATCTACTGAATGAATTACAAATGAATCTAACCACTGCCCCTCTCCTGCCTTATCATCACAACTCTTGTCCCGGACACTTTCACTGTGAACTCCTGCTACAAAAACTAAATAGAGTTCCATGAACCCACAATATCCCTGCCTTTATTCATGTTCTACCTCAGCCTAGAAAATCCTTTTCACTAAATTTGATATTAATAATTTAAAGAGATTTAGCTCAGGTCTAAGCTGGGTTTTGATCAAAGTGTAGAACATGATTAACATAAAGGAAAGAGCCTTGAGTACCATATAAGATGTTAGGTTGGATTTAAAAGCATTGAAGCATTTAAACTGTATATGACCAGATAAGGGGAAAGGTTCCTCTCTAAACTTTGTCCCCTAAATATTCTCAGTTTTTTAGTCCCTACAAAGCCTTTCAAATTCAGGACAGTTTGACAATAACTTTATCTTGAATAAGCAAATACTATTTGGTGAGGGCACATAAGCCACAAACTACATCAGTAAATGCTCAATTTTAGATACGTGAAAAGAGCACTAAAAAAATCTTGTTACATAGGCAATATATATAATTGCCTTTTGAAAAAAATAATACATATTACTTGCCTTTTGAAAATTTTGGCAATTTTCCCAGGAGCATTGTCTCATAATTGGAAGTGTAAAATATTGTGGTACCCAAGCCTTTTAAAGGACCAGTTTAAAAAGCTATGGAGTATGTAATTATGTTTGAGATCCCAAAAGTTCTTTTACAGGAGAGATGACAATAACTGTCTTTATTGTATGCAAATGACAACTTGTGTTTAAGATGGAATACCTGCTGAGGAAGATGACAAGCTCTAAAGAACTATTAGCTGATTTGATGAGTGTCAAATATGTAGATAAAGACTTTGAATACAGGTATTTCTCACAATGTAAGAATGAAACAATATTTCTTAAAAAACACAATTTCACATAATTTGTGACTTTAATTAGTAATAGATGACTAAATAAATTAAATTTTTAAATAGATATTTATCTCATCTATATTTTTATATATTCAGGCTGTTCAAAATTCTCACTGGGGGCGATGTGAGGTATTTCTTGGATATATGAGGTCTGTCCAGAAGGTATCCAGCCATGTACTTAAAAAAATAGAGACATTTATTGAAGAAGATAAAAGATACAAGATACAAGAAACACTGTACATAAGACAATGCTGTCTCAGTCTCCTTCAAAGTAGGCACCTTGGAACCTTACATAGTTCTCCTAATTGCCATCAGCTGCCCCGTTGTATTTTCCTGAATCTCACTGATAGTCTGAAATCTCTTCCCTTTCAAAAGTGACTTTAGTTTTGGGAAAAGCCAGAAGTTGCAGAGCACCAAATCTGGAGGGCTGAGTCACCTGGGTGATTTGAGGTTTCGTCAAAAAACTCTGCGGGAGATGTGATGCATGAGCTGGCGCGTAGTCGTGATGAAGCTGCCAATCACCAGTTACCCATAGCTGAGGCCTTCTGAATCACTGAAATAGTTTCCGTGGAGGAATGTTTAAGCTTAACGCAAAATTTGATGCAGATTCGTTGCTCTACTCGCTCAGTCATTTTGAATGCAACGACCACACAGTACACATGTTCACTCAACAGTGTGTACCGCCCCCACTGACCAGTACAGTGAAGTCATCATCGTTCACACATGCACATTCCAGCCCACTCACCTTGCCTGCCAGAAAACACAGATATTGCACAAACCATTTTCATTATATTACCAATGTCTAGACTGTATCTGGACAGACCTCATATACAGTAAATTTGTAAGCAGACTACAGAGATATCACAGTGGAGCTTCTGAATGAAGAAGTGTACAGGATGAAGAGATCAAAGACAGAACTGCACGGGCAAGACTACCATTATAATCTACAGAGGATGATAACAGTTAGGGATGGTGGCAATGAGAATACAAACAGGGAGATCAATACAGAAGATCACACAGATAAAGGACAGATTGTTTCCTTTGACAGTTCTTCAGTCCCATAGTTGATGACTACAAAGTCTTCAGGCTGGAAGCCCAAGGATGATGGTACCATAAAGAGAAATGCAGATGTTGAAAGAATGAGTAAATTTCATATAGCAATGAGTTAATTTCACACATGCTGAACTGTGGGTTACAGTTGGACATTGCATTGGACATGTCCTACAGGCTAGTCTTATAGTAAAACTAGCCAAAATTTCTTCTACATATTTCAGTATTCAAAAATTGCCCTGGCTGGTGTGGCTCAGTGGATTGAATGCTGGCCTGCAAACCAAAGGGCTGCCAGCTCGATTCCCAGTCAGGGCACATGCTGGGCTGAAGGTCAGGTCCCCAGTAGCGGGGCACGTGAGAGGGAACCACACATTAATGTTTCTCTCCCTCTCTTTCTCCTTCCCTTCCCCTCTCTCTAAAAATAAATAAATTAAATATTTTTTAAAAAAACTCTTGAATGACTATTGTTTACAAAAGTCCAACACTAGGAATGAACACAGAAATGGACATACTTCTGTCTAGACCCTCAATATTATTATAATTTTGGAGGATAAAGAGAAGCTCTCTAACTTCGATATGGGAAGATTTTTAGGGGTAATAATCTGTCTGGAAGTTGGGTTAGAGGATTTGACTTTAAACAATGTCGCATGGTAAGCACGATTCTGTTGATTTAGGGTAACAGCATGGGGGGTGCTGATGGCAACTGAGAGACATACGCCCCACTCCACCCAACAACTTCTTGGTTCTAACATTAAGAAAACTGCACTTAATGCCATGAGATATGTAGAATATCTGTAAAAAAGAAGTACTTAATATCACGAGAAATGTAAAATGTACCAATGCCTTGAGAAACTGCCCTAAGAAATGCAGAACATCTGCAAATAAGAATCTTTAGTGTCTAAACTAGGCATGAAGTTCAGGTTAACAGGTCAGGGCTGAAAGCAGTGGCTTGGCATCAAAGCCACAAGACTAGATGAGCTCTTGGAATAAGGAAGTTCTGTGGAGAACTAAAAGGGTATCCTTGTAAATTTCAAGATTAAGGGAAATTCTCCTAATGCGTCTGATTGAGATTTGGGTCTCCACTTGATAACTATATCATCTAAAACTCTGCCATTCAATATGGCTGCTACTGGCTACATGAGATTATTTAAATGTAAATAAAGCAAAAAAACCTCAAGGATGCCTGGATGATAGTGCTGCAGCTGCCTGTGTTTCCCAACGGACAATATTTTGGATGGGAAGGAACTCCAGGCACAGCCTAGGATTGGGGAGGCCTGGCAGAGCATGGCAGGGTTACCCTTCTTTGGGTGTTCTACAGGAGACGGGCTCTGAGGCAGGAGCCTGTCATTCTTCCAAAACTGTATAGCTTTTGTATCTTATGCTGTTTTAGTTTGTAAACTAACCCTATACAAATAAGATAATTAAAAACTAACAGAGTGCATGATAGAAATCAGATGTGAAAGATTTTAGCCTTAATTGATAGGTTTAAGTGATTAAAGCTGTAACTAAAGAATTAAAGAGTTTAGCCTTAATTGATAGGCGTAAATGACTAATGCACGTGGAAAGCTGTTATTTCAAAGTTGTGTAGTTTTTGAGTAAAGACTCCTTGCCTTCTTCACCAAAAGGTAAGTAAATAAGTAAATAAATAAATTTAATTTAAAATTCAGCTATATTCTAAGTGTTCAACAGCCAGCCCCATGTGGCAAGTAGCTTTCATACTGGAAAACAGAGATTATAGAATACTTCCACTAGACAGCGCTAAACTATCACAGACAACAAAGATAAGATATGGGATATTCATTATTCTTAAACTTCTAAAAGGGACAGGTACAACCTGTACAAAAACATCTTTACCTTGACCATAATGATGGTAACTCTTCTTGCAAGTCAACATTAAACTCTTCAAACACTTTCTGTGCTTTCTGAAATTCCTCTTCTGCCTAGAAATGACACATAGCATGTGTTAGTACTTCAAATAGTCACACCAACACAAGCCATTCCTACACACAGCTAAGTCATTAAATATATAAAAAGGAATAGCTTTATGGCATCCTAAAAACATTTGGGTAGGAGAAAAATTAGTCTGCTTAATACCTACTTTTTTTCAATAAATGTGAAATATTAATTCTTATTAAAACAAGGAAACTGAATTGATTACAGTGGTTGATCTGACACTCTGTGGTAGTTTCATTCATTCTACAAAAATGTGATAACTGCCTGTCATACACTGCTCTGCTCTGGATAAGGAACATGGATGCTTCCCCCTATGGAAAATCATAGTCTAGTGGGAAGTCCAAATAATTACATTGCAAGATCGGGCTTGTAAAGTGTTGTGGAGTATGCTGTTGCGGAAGATGGTGCACAGAACAGAAATGCTCCATAGAGAAAGTGATTATTTTTTAACTGGATTTTGAAAAGTTAGTAAGTGTATGCTAAAGAAGGAGATGGATAAACCATAGCTATATAGTGTACTAACCTTGTGAACTTGCCATATTTTTTACATTAGATACTTCATTCATAAAATGGAGATGGCAATGCCCACCTAATAGATGTGGTGAGTATTAAATAAGGTGATACAGATGAAGTGTTAAACATGGTGTCTCTATGAGGCCTCACATGAAGGACAGCTATTATTGTGGTTTCTCTGGAACTGATATGTATGTCATGAAGGCTTTAATTTAGGATGTCTGCACAGAAGGAGGAGAGGAGAGAAAAGAAGACATGCAAGTTGATGAGAATGGATGGGTGAGTCATAACCAAATAGAGGAGGTTGCATATACTGTGCAAAGAAATCTAGAATTTTCCTATAGGCAATTGGAGCCATTAAAAGACTTAGGCAGTAGAGAACCATATCCAAATAAGTGGTATAGAAAGACCAGGCAGCTGTGATTAGGCAGATAGGAGGAAGCAAGACAGGAAGGAAAGGAAGTAGCTTATCAGGAGTCATCCATTAACTGGCATCTGTAAATGACTAACTTATACTGTAAAAGTTACTGAAATGGGTTTTCTTAAAAAAAAAAAAAGAATGTTATGCAAATCTAGCCCATGTCTGTACTCTCAGACAATCACAAGTTATGTCTGAGATTTTCAAACTTGGTTTCCTATATGAATCTAAACTTTAGTAACAGGTTTGCACCATAACCACAGTTTAAGAAATACAGGAACATTTCTTACTTTCTCCAATCCTATAGTATTGTTGGGGGAAAAATTTATTCTAATCAAAATGTATAAGTGAGTGTCACCATGTGAACTCTACAATAACATCAAAACCTTATTTTTAATTAAAAATTATGGAAAGCAGTCCATAAGCACCACATTTCAGTTTAAATTCAGTCCTGATTCCAACGTCCTTTAGAAAGTATTTCATTTTTAAAAGCAAAGTTGCTATAGATCACAGAATATAGAATGGTTTCAACAGTGGGAACAATCCCTGCCTTAGAGATTCGACTCTCATCCTTCCTCTTGGAGCTCTGTAAAGCTTCCAGATGGTGGCGGGCACTGTCATAGTCAACCAGCTTCCTGCTGCGTTTTGCGATGCGATTCTGCCAATGGAAAATACATGCATTAAGAAAGAGACATGGCCATAGGTTATCTTGTTTTGTGTAAAGAATGTATTTTTATTATTTATTTTTAGAGAGAGGTAAGTGAGGGTGAAAGAGAGGTAGAAAAACATCAGTGTGTAAGAGAATCATCAACCAGGTGCCTCTCACATGTGCCCCAACCTGGGACCAAGCCCACAACCCAGGCATGTGCCCTGACCAGGAATCAAACCAACCAGCAACCTTTCATTTTGCGGGATGATACCCAACCGAGCCACACCTGTCATGGCCTTTTTTTTTTCAGCTGCCAAAATGCTTTTTTGTCCAGAGTAATTGAGAATCTCAACTAGAGATCAAGGTGAACTGGAATTTCAGTAGATAAATGATCCCTGGAAATCAGACTAGGGCCTTCAATCCTTTGTTTGAAAACTATTAGGTAACCATCTTCCCTTCCAATAAAAAAAATTAGACGAATCATGAGTTGAAAGCAGAATTTGTAGTCAAAGACCAGAAAAATTCTAGTACTGGTTGAGGGAAGCAGGTAAACCTATGCACTTGATTAGCCTCTATTTTAAATCTTTAACTGTTCTACTTTCAAAATAGTGGAAGGTCTTTTACTTCCTTGGTTAGGTTTATTCCTAAGTATTTTATTCTTTCTGAAGCAATTGTGAATGGGAATGTACTCTTATTTCCCTTTCTGTTAGTTATCAGCATATAAAAATGCAACTGACTTCTGGATATTAATTTTGTATCCTGCTTCTTTGCTGAATTCATTTATCAGTTCTAGAAGTTTCTTGGTGGATTCTTTGGAGTTATTTATGTACAGTATCATGTCATCTGCAAATAAAGACAGTTTGACTTCTTCCTTTCCAATCTGGATGCCTTTTATTTCTTCTTCTTGTCTGATTGCTGTAGCTAGGACTTCTAGTACTATGTTGAGTAAGAAAGGTGAAAGCAGACATCCCTGTCTTGTTCCTGATCTTCAGGGGAACCTGGTGATCCCATTTATGGGAATATATCTGAAGGAACACAAAATCCTAATTCGAAAGAATATACACAACCCTATGTTCACTGCAGCATTATTTACAATTGCCGAGATATGGAAGCAGCCCAAGTGTCCATCAATAGATGAGTGGATACAACAACTATGGGACCTTTACATAATGGAATACCACTTGGCCATAAAAAGAAGAAAATTTTACCCTTTGTGACAATATGGATGGCCTGGAGAATATTATAAGTGAAATAAGCCAATCATAGAAAGACAAATACCATATTGATTTCACTCATGTGGAATCTAATGAACAAACTAAACTGACAAGCAAAACAGAAACAGACTCATAGATGGAAAGCAGGATGACAGCTAGTTGAGGAGGGGAGTTAGGGGGTGATGGGATTAAACAAAAAGGAAAAAGGACTCATGGACATGGAAAACAGTATGGGGAATGCTGGGGAAAAGGGGGTGTGGAGGAGCTAAGTGGTAATGGAAAAAATACAATAAAGATTAAATTTAGAAAAAAAGAATTATAAATGTATATGGCTTAGAAAACATAGTCATATCCCATGGATCTTCATGGTAACTTATAGTAAGAGTGCTGCAGGGATCATTCCCATTTTACATGTAAGGAATTTGAGGTTGCATGACATTAACCTCTAAATTTGTCCAGAATTGCTTAGAAAGTCTGTGGCAAACGATAAAATAGATATCAGCTCACTACCCTACCAGTGCCTAGAGTAGAGTGAGGCAAATAAAACACCTAAGGCACACTCTCAGGGTCATTTAAGTACAGGATTAGCAATAGAGAATAGGTGCTTCCTAATATACTTTGAATCTGAATGGCCTCACTTGCCTCACTCAGTCCAAGAGCTACTCCTGACTCTTGGTTAGAATTTCTTCTACCAGTTCCCATGTTTTTGTGACATATTATCATTCAATTACCATCTGTCATTCTATGATATTCTTCTACATCCCCTTTAGGACTGATGAGAGGCGGAATGGGGAAGTTTCTCTCATTTGACTGCTTCCAATCGCTTTCATTTTACCCTCTGTACCTACCACTTCCAACTGTTTTTAGCAGTGGAAAGTATGGCTATCATACCATATTCTCTGAAAAATATGTGATGCATTAGAGTAAACAGACTTCCAGTCAAGGTGGAGGCATAGGTAGATAATGGTTTGCTTCCTCGCACAACCAAAAGAAGGACAATAAATTTAAAAAGAAAAAACACCTAGAACTGCCAAAAAATTGAACTGCATGGAAGTCCAACAACCAAGGAGTTAAAGAAAAAACATTCACCCAGACTGGTAAGAGGGGCGGAGACAGGCGGCCAGGGCAGAGAGGACGCACAGCAAGGCAAATGACCGGGCGGGCAAGGCTGCAACTGGTGGACCCAACAGTGCCACAGTCATGTGCGGACAAGCCGGGAGGAACAGATGGGAAGTAAGCCAGACCATGCAATCCAGGGTTCCAGCGCTGGGAAACTAAAGCCTCAAAACCTCTGGCTGTTAAATCTCCTGGAGGGGTGTGGCTGCAGGAGAAACTCCCAGCCTCACAGGAGAGTTCCCTGGAGAGACCCACAGGGTCGTAGAAGGTACACAAACCCAACCACCCAGGAATCAGCACTAGAAGGGCCCAATTTCTTGTGGGTAGCAGGGTAAGTAAACAAAATCAGGGCAAGAGCCACGCAAGCGGCACTGTTCTCTCTCTAACCCCTCCCCCACATACAGCACCACTATACAGTAAAGTGGGTTGCCCTGTTTCAGTGAATACCTAAGACTCTGCCCTTTACAATGTAGCAGGTGTGCCAGGACAAAGAAATATGGTCCAAATGAAAGAACAGATCAAAATTCCAGAAAAAGAAATAAGTGAAGAGGAGATAAGCAACCTATCAGATGCAGAGTTCAAAACACTAGTAATCGGGATATTCACAGAAATGGTTGAGCAGGGACACAAAAGAGGAAGAAGTGAGGGCTGTGCAAAGTGAAATTAAAAAAAAAAAATACAGGGAACCATCAGTAAAAGGAAGGAAACTGGGACTCAAATCAATGATTTGGAACAGAAGGAAAAAATAAACATTCAGCTGTTACAGAATGAAGAAACAAGAATTCAAAGAAATGAGGAGAGGCTTAGGAACCTCTGGGACAACTTTAAATGATCTAACATCCGAATCATAGGGGTTCCAGAAAGGAAAAGGAAGAGGAAGAAACTGAAAATTTATTTGAAAAAATAATGGAGAACTTTCCCAATTTGATGAAGGAAACAGACCTCCAGGAGATCCAGGAAGCTCAGAGACTCCCAAAGAAGCTGGACCCAAAGAGAAACACACCAAGATACATTGTAATTAAATTACCCAAGATTAAAGATAAGGAGAGAATCTTAAAAGCAGCAAGAGAAAAGGAGATAGTTACCTACAAAGGAGTTCGCATAAGACTATCAGCTGATTTTTCAAAAAAAGGAACTTCGCAGGGCAAGAAGGGCTGGCAAGAAGTATTCAAAGTCATGAAAGGCAAGGACCGACATCCAAGATTACTCTTATCCAGCAAAGCTATCATTTAGAATGGAAGGGCAGATAAAAGTGCTTCCCAGAAACGTGAAGTTAACGGAGTTCATCATCACCAAGCCTTTATTATATGAAATGTTAAAGAGACTTATCTAAGAAAAAGAAGATCAAAAACTATGAATAGTAAAATGACAACAAACTCACAACTATCAACAACTGAACCTAAAAACAAACTAAGCAAACAACTAAAACAGGAACAGTATCACAGAAATGGAGATCACATGGAGGGTTATCAGTAGCGAGGGGGAGGGGGAGAATGAGGGAAAAGGTACAGGGAATAAGAAGCATAATTGGTAGGCACAAAGTAGGCAAGGGGAGGTTAAGAATAGTACAGGAAATGGAGAAGCCAAAGAACTTATATGAACTAAGGCAGGGGCGTAGGGGGGAATGGTGGGGGGATGGGAGTACAGGGCAGAGGGGAACAAAGGGGAGAAAAAATTGGAAAACTGTAATAACGTAATCAATAAAATATACTTTAAAAATATGTGAATTAGCCCAGGCAGGGTAGAGAAGCCCTTCAATAAAGTATGGTGGATACAGTGTGCCTATGGACTGACAAAGCTAATTACTTTAAGCAAGTATCTATTATGTCCAAAGGAAAACTGTCCCTTGAAGCAGTGGCCTTGTATAACTCTATAGGCAAACTCATATAAAGCTCTGCTTTGTGAACTTGCAGGAGGGCAGGGTGGAGGTGGCTCTCCTTTAATATCTACCACGAAGCAAATCTTGATTCTTTGAGGATGAATTTGATTTTTGAGAACAGCAAAAATTCAATTATTTCCAAGTCTGGGAATGAGGTCAAATAGTGTATTGGGTTGCTATTTTTTTTGTTCCAAAACAAGAAGTGAAGTAAATATGTGACTCACTTTCTTGTGTGACAAGTCAATTAGAGTACAACTTACCATGTGGAAGTGATTGTGTTGAAGGCCATCACTCACTTTGACATAGAAAATCTTGTGCTGGAAAAATAATCCAATCTTGTTTCCTTACCTATCTGATATTTGGGAAGGCTGATAAAAGAGCCAAATCTCCTAAGTAACACAATTCTTGTTTCAACATCCAATCCAATCTAAATTTCTTTAGAATTCCCGATGTGTACTGACTTTAAGCAGTAAAGAAATTACTGTATTTTTAAAATTTCTATAATAACCCCAGCTTGGGATCCATTTTGACACAATGCTGAAAATATGCTTAATTGCTCATGCAAACTAAAAAACTAAGATAGAATCTAAACTACATTTTACAATAACTGCTCACAGCTGTAAGCCTGCCTGGGTCAGTGACAAGCTGGCTCTTATTACAACATCGATTTCAGACATTAGTGCTGTATAATAAGAACCGTAACACTGGGTGCCCCACCAATCACAGCTGGAAAATTCAAACACACCCCTTCATGAATGGTACTCCATAGTCGTCACTGATGGGCTGCAGTAAATATTTGG